CCCTCAAAAGAATGACATCACTCTCCAAAGATTCGTCCCTCCTTGCAACATGTCCAAAGTATGTCAGACGAAGCTTCAGAATCCTAGCCTCCAAGGAGCAGCATGACTTCACCCTTTCTAGAATGAACCTGTTAGTTTTCTTAGCAGTCCATAGTATATTCAATACTATTCTTCAACACTACAACTCAAAGGCAGCAATTCTACTTCTTGTAACCCTAGTCATTATCCATCTCTCAAATGCATAGCAAGTGATTGCAATGACCACAGACTGTATCACGCATACCTTTGTTTCCAGAGTGACATCAATGCTCTTCTGTACTTTGGAGAGGTCTCTAACAGTAGACTTTCCCATAGCAATATGTGTTTTAATCCTGCTAGTGCTAGGAGTATTGACTGCAGAGTCAAGCATACTAAAGCTGTTAAGAGTCTCAATGTCTTCACCATCCATCATGATGCTTCCCACTGGCCCTGTGATGAGAATCTTTGTTTTGTTGATACTGAGTCTCAATCCATAATGAAGGCTGCAGTCCTTGACCTTCTGCAGTAAGCACTTCAGATCCTCCTCAGTTTCAGCGAGCAGGGCTCTGTCATCTGCATAACATAGATTGTTGATGAGTCTACCTCCAATCCTGATGCCACACTTCTCATAGAGCCCAGCCTCCCAGATAATCTCTTCTAGATACAAAGTGAAAAGTTATGGAGATAAGACACATCTCTGGTGACTTCCTATTATTATTATGTTGTTAAAGAGGCTGTTATACTACGATTATTGATGGTAAGTGTCACTGAATCAACTTCATCTCATAGCAAGCCTAGAAAATGAGCTCTGAACCCTGTCCATTACCGTCTCAGCTTCACCAGAGCCCACTGTTAGAGCCATTTTGTCAATCTCCCTCCTTGAAGGTCTCTCCCTACTTTACTAACTACCACATTTCTGAGCATTATGGCCTTTTCCAAGGACCAGGCCCTCCTAACACCACGTCTGAAGTCCATCTCCTTTCAAATATAAAAGAAAAGACTGAACAGCCAGCCAACCAACCATGCGAGGAAGGAAGCATGGCTCGAGAACAGTAGCCGGGGCATCATTGTCCTCAAGTTGGAACTGACTAATAACTGACCCTCCAGTGGGTTTTCAGAGGCTAGAAATGGCTCAGGAGGTGACTGCCCACCTTTGCCCCCCAGAGCGGCTGGTAAATTCTCATTGGGGATCTTTGAGTTGGCAGAGTAACCTCCTTCACAGGGTGCCAGAGCACCCTTGAGACCTTCTAGGAAATGACATTCAAAACTCTCATTGCCTTGAACTAAGGCTTGATTCTCAAGTGTCCCTTTGGGAAGTTTTCAGAGGTCGTAAATTACAGGGGATATAGGAAACTGCCCACCTTTTCCTTGTGGATTAGCCGGTGGATTTAAAACCTCTTAAAGGGGGCTGCCTTTGGGACAGCAGCACAGCTTCTGACCGCAAGGCAAGGGCTCCCTAGAAATGAGAAGAAACTAAAATCTCAAATGCTTTTGACACCCAGTAGGAACCAATCCACACAGGCGGGTTTTTAGATACAGTAAATCACAAGGGAAGGCATAGTTTTTCTTTCGCCCCTGGAGCTGCCGGGCAATCAAACCTGTGTGGGAGGTCTTCCTCCTATGTATTGGTTGGTGGATTTGAACGCGTGCTTTGGGTCTTCAGCACAACTGCTAGGGGTAGGACACTGGAGAACCCCAGAAAAGAAAGGAAACATACAAACTAAAACTTATTATCATCCAGACAGAACCAATGCACACCTAAACTTCCACTGAAATTTCAAGGGACTGAAACTCAAAGAAAGAGATCATCCACGTTTTAGTTGAGAACTGCAGGTGGATTCAATCCACCAACCTTACACAACTTCTTACAAACTATGTCTCCAGAGCTCACTGGACCAGAAAAACAAGCTCAAATAATACACAGTCCTGTACCCAATACTACAGTAAGAAGGAAAGACTTCGTTTAAGACAGGTGCCCAAAATTCAGGCCACTAGGCTTCTAAATGGTGTTAAAACAAGGTTTGCTTTGATAACAACTCAGAATTGGGATTTTTCCTCTAAAACCATCACTGGAAAACAATAATAGCCTGCCTTCTGCAATGTCAATGTTTGCCCTCGAGACTAGGAGACAATATGGACTCGTTAACCTACTCAGGCATTCAGCTAAAGAAAGACCTGGTAATCCATTCTGGGAAAGATTCAATTCTTCCAAACACTATGGATGCAGTTCCACTTTTTTGTAATGCCTGGGGCCACAACAAACTGCAATCACAGCTATCACCCTCAGGGCGATCCTAATTTCTTTCTGTGTAGTCTCAGACAAGGAGGGAATGTATCCATGTAGGGTAATGGCGTCAGTACTAAAGAGGATGAAGTCTTGTCCCAAAGAGAGGTGAGTATGGGTCCCAATGTTAATGGTGGATTCAGTCGGAAAAGCAGGTTGCCCAAGAAGCCTCTCAAACCTGTGGTTCAGCGTGTCATGCCCTAGAGGGGGCACGGAAACTTAAATTCTTTTCCTGAGTGTGTGATACACATCTCTTTGGAAAAGAACCCAGAATTGAAGGGGGAGGGGATCTTGAGTGGGCACCAAAGAACGACGAACTTACAACCAATAGGCAATAGGCTCTATCCTGGCAGCGCAGGGAGGAGACCCATGAATCACTATCAGTCCTCCTGCCATCCCCCACCCCTGCCCCGCCACAGCTGCCACGGGATGTGAAACCAGTAGACTTTTATCTGCCAATATCCCCGAAGGCGGGAAGACCCTCGTAGCTTCCAGAATCCCTGGTCGCTCATCAGATGAGGACGCTCAACTCTGCAAGACTGCTCGGCGCACTGGTGAGGACCCTAAATGTGGACCTGGGGGACCACCCACTCCAAACAGTGTATGCTTAGAATGGGCCCTGGCCTGCCGCCAGGCTCATATACACTTGAATGATGTCACTGTGCAAAGTCTCAGGAGATGGAGGGCCATGGCGTGAGGGTGGGGGTAGGCCATGAAGGTGTAGGGTAGGGAGGCCAGGACCCTTATAAGGGAGCAAGCGATGAAACTCTGATTTAATGTGGAGCCCTCATTGCCTAAAGTGACCCCTCAAGGTGATGCTCCACTCTCAGCTCTGAGTGCAAGTAGAAAGGGACACCCTGAAATGTAGCGCCCTCACTTTCCTCCACCCCTGGACAGGTCTCAACATGAGCCTTGAACCTCCATTGTTGCATTCAGGGGAATGGAGTCAGTAGAGGGGGAAAGGAAAGTCTTAGAGCAGGGTCCCAGTCAGAAGGGAGCTAAGGACTGGAAGGAATGCACATAATATTGTGAACTGTGGGGGTCCCGAAAACGTTCTCTCCCATTACCACAATCTCCAAAACCCACCACAACTTTTTAGTAATAGCAAACAAATACAGAAAACATGGTGAGCCAGCCTCCAACAGGGATATTCCAGGGGGCGTGGTCTGGGGTTGGAGGGGCATGGCTTCAGGTCTACAAACTGTAGGGTCCCACAATATCTCAGAGACAGGGGGGAAATGGTTGAGATTGTGGAGACCACTCAATGCAAAATGGGGGGAGGGGATGCCGGGGTGTCCCTCCCTTTGCCGTGGCCCTGGCATCATAGGACTTAAGGAGAAAGATGGGCAATCTGCTCCCTTGGAATTGACTGCCTAGGAAATCCTGCTAGACGGTCAGCTACAGGTTGATCCCAAATTTATGGTACACAACACAAAGTGTGTTAGTGTGAGCCATCGGGTCTCAAAAACATCCTCTTTCGCTTCCACAATCTTCAAAACCACCTGACTGCTTGCTGATACCGACAACCTTCATGAAACACATCTACTCTGACTCCAATAGGGATTTCTCAGGAGGCAGACTCCTGGTCGAAGGGGTTTGGCCTCCAGTCTGCAATATTGGAGGTGACACAGCAGAGGGAGGAGACGTAATCCCTAACAAGAATCAAGGTTAGTGGAAGGGAGTGGAGAGCATTATTCTAAGTGAACTTATTCTGTCCCATAAGGACAAATATGGTATAAGACCATTATTGTAGAAGGTATGATGAGGATACATGAATTGGAGGGTGAAAGCAGAGGGATGAGGATGAGTGGGGGTAGGGTTAGTGGGTAGGGGTGGTTAATCATAGGGTTATACAATTTCATGGGCAAAAAAATGGGAAAGATCTGATGTGAATACAATGTAGACGAACTTTCCAAGTAAACCAGTATAAAGTAAACATTTAAATTTTAAAAGTGAAAAGAAAACACAGTGAAGCTTAGAACACAGATGCTGATAAGGTGGTTCGTCCCTGAAAAATGGGGACACATAAAGACCAATACACGCTTCCAGATCTGGGGCAGTCGAAGTTTGATGACAGAGCTAGGATGGTGCACATTCTTTCAGGGCCTGTCAGGGAGATGACTGATCTGGTCAGAGTGGGCAGGAAAGGTGAAGACTGGGGAGATGACTGGGCCCTCCAAGGACAGAACAAGGACCAATGTGCTGTTACTACTGAGCCACCCATGTCAGCAGTGGGGATGGAACTGCTACTTCAGTGTCTCTTTATGGGACCTAGAAAGCTTGGAGGTATCAAGGTCCGAAGAGGAGTACGGAGGGTGTTCCAGGTCCTATAAGAATTGCTATGGGGTGGGGAGAAAAATGCAAGAATAAATGAATGGAAATCCCAAATCACTATAAATGTTCATTAAATTAATAAATTTAAAAAAACCAAACACAACTCTAACAGGGTAAAAGCTAAAAAAAAAAAAAAAGATTGCTATGATGTCCATTCAGTCGAAAGAACAGGTCTCAGTAGTACCCCAGCACAGTGGATACCTCCAACCAGCCCCTGCTGGTCACAAGAAGCTCAAGGAGAGCTGGCAGCATGCAACTTTACTTTTCTTTCCTCTACAGGGTCCTGAGGAGAAGGAGACCCTCTGCAGGCTTCAACAGTCTGCATCACCCATTCGTCTCCTACACTTGGTTACCAGGGCTCATAATGCCTCGTGGTCACAAGAGTAAGAATCCTGCCCGTTGGAAGCGCCGCCAGACTCAAGGGGAAACCCAGGCCCCTGAAGAGGCGAAGGCCGCTGCTGCAGAAGAGGAAACCCAATCTCCCTCATCTTCCCCTCTTTATAAGGCTTCTCCTCCTTGTGAGGATTCTCCACCTCCTGAGGATGCTCCACCTCCTGAGGATTCTCCACCTCCTGAGGATTCTCCACCTCGTGAGGCTTCTCCACCTCATGAGGCTTCTCCACCTCCTGAGGCTTCTCCACCTCGTGAGGCTTCTCCACCTCGTGAGGCTTCTCCACCTCGTGAGGCTTCTCCACCTCGTGAGGCTTCTCCACCTCGTGAGCATCCTCCTCCTCGTGGGGCTTCTCAGCGTCTCCCTGGTCTTTCCACTGAGCTGAATTCTCAGAGAGTCCCACCCATCCCCAAAATTGATATGTGTGTCTACTGCACAGAGGATGATGAGGGTGACCTGGGCAAATATGGTGGGGGTGCTAGTTCCTCAGGGGGCGCCGCAGGGGCCCCCCAGAAATATCCTCTCATCAAGAGGATGAGACTCCTGGTGCAGTTTCTGCTGCACAAGTATAAGATAAAAGAGCCATTGATCACCAAGGAAGAAATCATGAAGATCATCAACAAGAAGTACCAGGAGCGCTTTCCTGAGGTCCTGCAGAGAGTCTCTGAGCACATGGAGCTGGTCTTCGGCCTTGAGCTCAAGGAAGTCGACCCCAGCGTTCCAACCTACCTCCTGGCCAATGTGCTGGAGATCAGCCGGGAAGATTATCTCTTTGATAGTAAGACTTTCCCCAAGTATGGGATGCTGCTGCCTATCCTGGGCATGATCTACATGAATGGAAACCAGGTCAGTGAGGAGCAGCTCTGGCAATTCCTCAATCGAGTTGGGGTCTCTGATGGGAAGAGGTTAGGAAGAAAAAAAAAGTTCTATGCCTGAATGTGTGTGTGTTTTTCTTGATGTGCAAAAGTAAATAAATCATTGACGTAGATCTCTTGTTCACTTGGCTCTTCTTTGCCCAAATAGCAGTTGAGCACCTCCTCTTTGCAAGCATGCAGGTAATCATTGGGACCTTTCGTCAATTTCTTTCTTAGCTCCTAGCCTACCTGTTAGCAGATAATAGCTGCTGTGATCATGGAAGAGGCTGGGACGGTCTCTGAGACCTAAGGCAGTAGTGAAAGGGGAGAGGCCTTCAGGCTTCCCTTTCTCGGAAATCAAACTTTGAGGTCGTGAATTTTAAGTTTTAGGCATCAGAGATGGGAAAAGGGAGGAATCTGGGGTCAGATGGTGGCTATTTGGGATTCTGGGTACAAAGGCACCTTCAGGCACAACTTTTGAAAACACACTAAAGGTACACATAATTCATATACAATAGACACCTAAGGAGATGTTTATGTACCCTTTGGAATCCCTCAAGACCTTCCCTACTTGGGAAACCTATAGCTGTTTTTTGCCAACAGTGTGAAAAACCTTTACTCTCTCTTTTCACGGGAGGCCTTGCTGGACATTTCCCTGCATTGAGCCCTGGACCTGGCATTGAAATTTACATCATGGTTGCTGCTCTCTCTTCTTCTTCTTTCAAAGTTCCCACAAAGAGGATTTTGAAGGCCTTGTGATCCATTCTACACATCTTGGCACACTGGCCTTGCTAGCTTCGGTATGGCCTTGGGACCACACAGAATCTGGAAAGTTAGAGGACCAGCGTCTTTCATGATCAGAGTAGCTATTATGAGCTAACAGGTAGGCTAGTGGCTGAGAAAAGTAATTGCTTGTTAAAGGTCTCCAGTGATTACCTTCAAGCTAGTAAAGAGGAGACGCTCAATTACTGTTTGAGCAAAGAAGAGCCAAGTGAATAAGAGATTTAAATCAATGATTTATTTTCTTCTGCACATCAAGAAAAAGAGAAACATATTCAGGAATAAAAGGGGCTTTTTGGTTTGTTTTTTTGTTTTGTTTTCATTTGGATTTTACCAAATGAGTGACTGAAACCAAGAATTGAACACTTATTCTGTAGTCCCTTCACCATCTTCTTGTTGCTATTTCTTGATCATTGATTTTTGTGACATGTCCAAGGATTTTTGAGAATTTTGAGGAGGAATGTGGCATCAAGATTGGAAGAAGATTCATCAACAACCTGCATAATTCAGATGACACAACTCTGCTTGCTGAACTTGAAGAGGACCTGAAGTGCTTGCTGCAGGTCAAGGACAGTAGCCTTCAATCTGGATTAAAGCTCAACACCAAGAAAACAAAGATTCTCGCCACTGGGAAAATTGGTAGCATCATTATGGATGGTAAAGAGATTGAGATTATTAACTGTTTTACTTTGCTTGATTCCACAATCTTGGTACCAGCAGCCAGGGAATCAAGAGATGAATTGCATTGGGAAAGTCAACTCTCAGAGACCTCTCCAGAGTACTGAAGAGTAACGACACCAGGATAGAGACTAAGGTGCTCCTATATTCCAGGCCTTAGTCTTTGCCATTGCGTGCTATGCATCAGAGAGCTGGACAGTGACTAGGGATGACAGAAAGAGAATTGATGTGTTGGATCTGTGGTTCTCAGGAAGAGTTCAGAATATACCATGGACTGCTAGGAGAACAAACATGTTCATCCTGGAAAGGGTGAAACCGGGTTGCTCCTTGTAGGCAAGGATTCTAAAGCTTTGTCTGACATATTTTGGACATATTGCAAAAAGGGAACAGTCCTTGGGAAGGGACAGCACAAGAGAGGAAAACCTTCAATGAGATGAATCAGTTCCATGATTGGGGTAATAGGAGTAGATATGTCAGAAACAGTGAGGTTGGCACAGGACAGAACAGGGTTTAGGGCTCTTGTACAAAGGGTCACTATGAGTCACAGGTGACTCGATGGCACATAACAACAACAGTTAAAAGTATATATGCAAAACCAAAAGCCAATATTGTTGTCAGTGGAAAAAGTCTAAAAACATTTTCTTTGCTAGCAGGGACCTTAGACAAGGATGCCCACCACTGTAGCCACTGCTATTCAGTATTGTATTTGCTAGGACAATATGACATGAGAAGGGGGGGGGAAATCCCTTGATCGGCAAAGAGATGGTTAAAATGTCGTTCTAGGTAAATGATACGATAGTGTACCAAGGATGCAACATACAGAGCTAGTAGATCTATTTAGTAAAAGGAACAAGATACTAGATCAACAGGCAAAGATCAGTGGGATTCCTCTGCAGTGACAGAGAGAACTCAGAGAAGGAAACCAAGAATGTACTACCATTTATAATAGCCCACCACAAATTGAGATATTTGGGAGTGAACCTAACTAGAGATACAAAAGACCTTTTAAAAAAATCTACAGAACATTTTTGTGAGACACATGGACTATTTGATATTTTATTGATTTTAAGTTTTGATTGATTGGTTGACATAAGTTTAAGGGTAACAGGAAGGAAAGAATAAACAAAACAAAGATTGTCCGTAAGAAAAGAAAAAGAACACAAATAAACATTTCTCTGGTATTCTCTGCTTTCACAGGAGGCACTTCCTCTTTGGAGATGCCAGGAAGCTCCTCATCAAAGATAGGGTTCAGAAAAAGTGGATCAGGGAAAACAGTAGCCAGGGCATCATTGCCCCCAAGTTAGAAGCAACTAATAGCTCACCCTCCAGTGGGTTTTCAGAGGCCAGAAATGGCTCTCAAGGTGACTTCCCACCTTTCCCCACCCTGCAGCAGCTGGTGAATTCCCACTGCGGGTCTCTGGGTTGGCAGAGCAAGCCCCTCCACAGAGGCTGCCAGAGTTCCCTTGAGAACTTCTAGGAAATGACATTCAAAACTCACTGCCAACAAGTTAGCCCCATTCACAGCTGTCCCTTCCACACGTTTTCAGAGGTTATAAATCACAGGAGAGATAGGGAACTTTTTTCATAGAGTTGCTGGGGGATTTGAAACTCCTTAAAGGTGTTCGTGTTTGGGTCACCAGCAAAGCTCCCGAAAACTAAACCATGAGAGCTTCTTAGAAACAAAAAGAACCTAAAATCTCAAACTCCTTGCCACCCAGTAGGAACCAACACATATGGCGACTTTTTCTATTTTCCATACTAGCTTATTTACAAAACTCGAATACAAATTAGAACAAATTCTTTCAATTTCTCTCACCCCCCCTTCAAACTGTACAACTCAATGATTAATCCACCTCCCCCTGCACATCCACATCCTTCTGCTTCCAGCCTCTCCAACCCCTCCAGGATCCTTACACTCGTTCTACAATAATGGTTTGACCCAGCTATTCCACTACTTGGAATATACACTAAGAATATGACAACTGAGGCACAAACTGAGATTTGTACACCAATGTTCATATGAGCATTATGCATCATCTCAAGAACATTGAAACTGCCCAAATGTCCAACTGCAAACAAATGTCTTGAGAAATTATGGTTCAGTCACACAGTGGAATACTATGCAGCAGGCAGGAGCAATAACTATGTAAATTATTATCTAACTTGGGAATTATTGGAGACCATTATGCTGTGTGAATTCAGTCCCACAAGGATAAATATTGTATAAAATGGGGATTGTTTTAGACGCTGTAAATTACCAGGGAAGAGACTGTTTCTCTTTCTCCCATGCAGCTGCTGGGAAATCAGACCTGCGAGGAAGGTCTTCCTCCCGTGGATCGGTTGGTGGATTTGAACATGTGCCCTGGGTTTGCAGCACAACCCCAAATGGCTTAGGACACCAGAGCTCCTCAGAAATGGAGAAAAAGAGCAACGGTGTCTCTCTGGAGACTAAGATCTGCCTGATACAGGCCATGGTTTTTGCAATCACTTGTTATGCATCAGAGAGCTGGACAATGACTAGGGAGGACAGAAGGAGAATTGATGCCTTTGAGCTGTGGTGCTGGAGAAGAGTATTGAATGTACCATGGACTGCCAAGAAAACAAACAGATTCATCCTAGAGAGGGTTAAACCAGGCTACTCCTTGGAGGCAAGGATTCTGGGGCTTCGTCTGACATACTTTGGACATGTTGTAAGGAGAGACAGGTCTTTAGAGAGGGACATCATGCTGGGTAGAGTAGAGGGACAGCGCAGGAGGGGAAGACCCTCTATGAGGTGGATTGATTCAGTGACTGGGATAATCGGGATGGGTGTGTCAGAGGCAATGCGATTGGCACAGGATAGAGCAGGGTTTAGGGCTGTTGTACATAGGGTCGCGATGAGTCGCAAACAACTCGACGGCACATAACAACAACAACCACTGACAGAACCAAAACATACCTGACCTTCCAGTGAATTTTCAGAGGCTGGAAATCCCAAGGAAAGAGATCATCCACCTTTCTGCCAGAAACCATTGGTGGATTCAAATGTCCAGCCATGGATTAGTTGCACATCTGCATATAAACTTTGCCTCCACAGCTCCTTGTCCCGGGAAGAATAAGCATACATAAGACATAATCCTGCACCCAAAACAACACATCGAAGGAAAGACTTTAAGACAGGTGCCCTGAAACCAAGCCACTATGCTCTTAAGTGGCATTAAAACAAGTTTAGCTTTGTTAAACACACAGAATTGTGCTTTTCATGTGAAAGCATCCATAGAAAACAATTATACACCTACAACCAGGAGAAGATAAAATAGATGAATGGGACCTTCTAAGAATCAAATCCCTATGCACATCCAAAAACTTCTCCAACAGGATAAAAAGGGAAGCCACAGACTGGGAAAATGTATTTGGTAATGACATATCAGATAAGGCACTTATATCTAGAATTTATAAAATACTTGAGCACTACCACAAGATCAAGGTAAATAATCCAATTGAAAAATGGGCACAGGATATGAACAGGCACTTCACCAAAGAAGACATTCAGATGGCTAACAAGCACATGAAGAAATGTTCAAAATCCCTAGCTCTAAGAGAGATGCAAATCAAAACAACTATGAAATATCATCTCACCCCAGTCAGAATAGCAACATTTAACAGAACAGCAAGCAACAAATGCTGGCAAGGTTGTGGAGAGACTGGAACCCTTATTCACTGTTGGTGGGAGTGTAAAAATGGTGTAACCACTGTGGAAAGCGGTATGGCACTTTCTCAAAAAGTTGCAAATAGAGATACCATTTGACCCAGCAATTCCACTACTGGGAATACACCCTAAAGAAACCATAACCAACATCCAAGTAGATATATGCACACCCATGTTTATCCTGGCTTTGGTCACAATAGCAATGAGTTGGAAACACCCTAAGTGCCTATCAACAAAGGAATCTAAAGGGAAGCTGTGGTATATTCACACAATGGAATACTATGCTACACTGAAAACAAGGAACTGATGCAGTATTATTCAAAATGGGTGACCTTGGAGGACATTATGCAGAGTGAAGTATCTCAGTCACAAAAGAACAAATACTACATGTTGCCACTGTTGTAAAACAGGACTGGCCTCAGGGTTGGGGAGAGAATGAGAAAGATGGGTTTAGTAATGTATACTGCATTGAAACAGATAAGGGAGAAAACTGTTTAAAAGGGATCTGTGATTAGGTATTTTTGTCCTAACAGGAGTCCAGAGCAAAGGCTGCATAGTGGAGTGGATCTGGGGGGAGGGATTGTAAAATAATGAAAGAATTTTTCTTTCACTTTTCCAAGAAGGTAGTGTACTAGGGGGGAGGGTTTAGAGGGGAGAAAAGTGCAACAATGAATGAATGGAAATCCAAACTCTCTGTAAATTTTCATTGAAATTAATAATAATGAAAAAAAGAAAACAATCATACACCATCTTATTCAATGTGGGTATTTCCCTTCGATGTTAGTGGACAATATAGAAGTGTGAACCTACTCAGGCGTTCAGCTAAATAAAGATCCAACAATCCATTCCGGGGAGGATTCAATTCCTCCAAACACTGTGGGTGCAGTTCCACTTTGTGTGACGCCTGGGGCCACAATAACCTGCAATCACAGCAATCAGCCTCAAGACCACCCTCATTTCTTTGCGAGTAGTCTCAGACAAGGAGGGAACGTGTCCATGTAGGGTAATGACGTCAGTTCTACAGAGGGTGAAGTTTTATCTCAAAGAGAGGTGAGAAGGGATCCCAACGTTAGTGGCAGATTCAGCCTGAAACACAGTTTGCCCAAGAAGCCTCCTGAGCTTGTGGTTCAGCGTGTCATGCCCTGGGGGGGGGGGTGTGGAGACTTAAATTCTTTTCCCGAGTGTGGGACACACACCTCCAGAATCCAACAGGTGTCGGGGGTGGGGGTGGGGTATCATGAGTGGGCACTAAAGAATGACGAACTTCCAACCAATAGGCTCCATCCTGGCAGCGCGGGGAGGAGCCCCAGGAACTGTTAGCAGCCTCCCCCCACCCCCACAGCTTCCACCGGATGTGACGACAGCAGACGTTCAACCGCCCAATATCCCCGAAGGCGGGAAGACGCTCGTAGCTTCCAGAATCTCTGGTCGCTCTTCAGACGAGGACGCTCGACTCCAAGTCTGCTCAGCGCCCTGGTGAGGACCCTAAATGTGGACCTGAGGGACCACCCACTGCAAACAATGTGGGCTTAGCGTGGGACCTGCCCCACGGACAGGCTCAGATCTACTTGAGAGATATCAGCCTGTAAAGTCGGGGGGGTGGGGTGGGACGACCATGGGGTGAGGGTGGGTACAGCCCAGGAAGGCGGAGGGTGGGGAGACCCTGACCCTTATTAGAGAGCGGCGGACGACCCTCAGAACCAATGGGAGCCTTCATTACCTAAGATGACCCCTCAGTGCGATGCTCCGCTCTCAGCTCTGAATGCATCCAGAGAGGAACCCCCCAATATGCAGCACCCTCACTTTCCTCCACCCCCAGGGAGGTCTCAACATGAGGCCTGAACTTCCATTACTTCATTAAGGGGAGGTTGAGTCAAGAGAGGGGGAATGGGAAGACTTAGCACAGGGTCCCAGTCAGAAGGTGGGGGGAGGACTTGAAGGAACACATACGATACTAGGAACTGTGGGGGACTCGAAAATATTTCCACACTGTCCCAAACCCACCCCAACAGTTTAGTGCTAACAAACAAGTTCAGAAAACATGGCGCTGCAGCTTCCAACAGCGATATTGCAGGGGGCGTGGTCTGAGGATGGAGGGGCGTGGCTTCAGGGCTGCAAACCATAAGGTCCCACAATACTGCAGAGAAAGGGAGAAAAGTGTTTGAGATGGTGGAGACCATTCAGTGCAAAATGGGGAGGGCTAGAGTGTGCCTCCCCTTGTGGCCCTGGGATCATAGGACTGAAGGAGCAAGATGGGCTGCCTTTGAAATCCAGCTAGGTCAGCTACAGGTTAATCCCAACTTGATTTCATACAACACAAAGTGTGTTAGTGTGAACTATGGAATCTCAAAAACGTTGTCCCCTGCTTCCACAATCTTCAACACCTACCCTGACTGCCTGCTGATACCAACAATCTTCACAAAACACGTCTACTCTGACTCCCAACAGGGATTTCTCAGGAGGCAGACTCCTGGTCGAAGCGGTTTGGCCTCCAGTCTGCAATATTGGAGGTGACACAGCAGAGGGAGGAGACGTAGACCCTAACAAGAATCAAGGTTAGTGGAAGGGAGTGGAGAGCATTATTCTAAGTGAACTTATTCAGTCCCATAAGGACAAATATGGTATAAGACCATTATTGTGGAAGAGGGGTGACGATGAGCATGGATGGGGGGGTAGGGGGTGGTTAATCATAGGGTTATACAATTTCATGGGCAAAGAAAATAGGAAAGATTTAGTGTGAGTACAATGTATACGAACTTTCTAAGTAAACCAGTATCAAATAAACATTTTAATTTTAAAAGGGATAAGAAAAGAGGATAAAGCTTATAACAGATGCTGATGAGGTGGTTCCTCCCTGAAAAGGGGGGACACATAAAGGTCCAAACATACTTCTACATTTGGGGCAGTCAAAATTTGATGACAGAGCACATTCTTTCAGTGCCTGTTAGGGAGATGACTGACATGGTCAGAGGGGGCAGGAAAGGTGAAGGCTGGGGGAAAGGACTGGGTCTTCCAAGGACAGAACAAGCACCACTGTGCTGTTATTGCTGAGACACCTATGTCAGCACTGGGGACAGAGCTTCTCCTTCAGTGTCTCCTTGTGGGGCTCAGAAACCTTGGAGGTTTCAAGGTCACAAGAGCAACAGGGAGGGAGTTGCAGGTCCTACAAGGAAGAAGGCTCCACATTAATCCAGCAGAATGGATACTTCCCACCAACCCCTGCTGATCACAAGAAGCCCCAAGGAGAGTTGTCAGCATATAACTTTCCTCTTATTTCCTCCACAGGGCCCTGAGCAGAAGTAGACCCTTAAGCGGGTTTACATCACCTTTCTGTCTCCTGCACTTGGGTACCAGGGCTCATCATGCCTCGTTTTCAGAAGAGTAAGAATCGTGCCCGTGGGAAGCGCCGCCAGGCTCGAGGGCAACACCAGGCTCCTGAGAAGGCAAAGGCTGCTGTAGGAAAAGAGAAAGTCTTCTGTACCTCATCTGTCCTCCGTGTGAGGCTTTTCCTCTTCCTTGTGCGTCTCCTCTTTGTGGGGCTTCTTTTCCTCATGGGATTTCTCCTCCTCAGTAGGTTTCTCCACATTGTAATGCTCCCAAGCTCCTGAAGATTCTCCACATAGTGAGGATGCTCCTTCTTGTAAGGCTCCTCAGTGTCTCCCTGGTCGTTCCACTGAGCTGAGATCTCAGAGAGTCCCACCCATCCCCAATGTTGATGTGTGTGCCTATTGTACAGGGGCTGATGGGGGTAACCAGGGCCAATATGGTGGGGGTACAAGTTTCTCAAAGTTTTTGAAGGATATTTTGAAATAAATAGAATTTTTCTCTAAATGGGGATAATTTTTCTCTAAATGTTTGGTAGAATTGAGTTGTGAAGCCATCTGGTCTAGGCCTTTTTTTGTGGGGGAGTCTTTTTATGACATGCTCAGTTTTGTCTTTCATTATAAGTATGTTCAAGTGTTTTACATCTGACCGTGACAATCTAGGTAGGGCATGAGTTTCAAGGAATATGTTCATTTCTTCCAAGTTTTCCAATTTATCTGAATGAACCTTTTCATATATTCTCATATTATAGACTTAATTTCCTCTGATTTTGTTATAATGTCACCTCTATCATTCATTAATTGAGTTATTTGTATCTTACCTTATTTCCTTTTGTTAAGTTTGTCAATAGTTGGTCAATTTTATTGACCCTTTTGAAATGGAAAATGGTTCTCTGTTCATGGATGGGAAGACTAAACATGGTGAAAATGAGAATCCTATGAAAAATAATCAACATACACATTACAGATCCAAATACAAATGCCAATTTCATTTTCCAAAAGGAGATAAAAAGAGAAATTGTCAAGGAAGCACTGGTGGCCTAGTGGCAAGAAGCTGTAGGGCAATCCCAAAAGCATGGGGTTTAAATCTACCAGATGCTCTGCTGGTGGAGGAGGGGCAATCTCCTCCTGTTCCAGATGGATTCACTTTGATGGTACATAACAACTAAAACAACAACAAATAAAAACAAAAATCACAACAACAATAATAAAAAGAAATTTTTAAAGTTTTTTGGAGAGGAAAGCGACCCCAAATAAGCAAATCACTTCTGAAAAACAAAAATTAAGTAGGAGACATAGCACTCCCTGATATAAAAACTAACAACACAGCAGTAGTAAACAAAACAAAAACAGCATGGTATTGGTACAAAGACAGGTTGTTGTTGTTGTTGTTGATTGCCTTCGAGTCAAGGATGACTCAGCGACCCTATGAATAAAAGGCTTAAAGCCCCTCTACAACTATTGACATTTATCAAAGTTCATGGATTTTCCAGAGAGAGGCATGCTATTTAGGAAGTGGATGCCACTCCTGCTTCCAAATCTGTCATAGTATGTTATGTGCCAATGAGTTGCCTACAATGTATAGCGGTCCTGTGTACAGCAGCTCTGAACCCTTCCCTAATCTGAGCTAGTCTCACTAACTACAACACACCAATGCCCATTGCCCCAGTTACTTTATCAATCCATCTCGTCTGGGGTCTCCTCTCCTGCAATGGAAAATCTGAAGAGGATAAAAGTGATGAATGGGACCTACTAACAATTAAATCTTTGTGCTCATTAACTTTTTCCAACATGGTGAAAAGAAAACCTACTTATTGGGAACAAACATTTGGCAATAGCGTCTTAGACAAGGGAATCCTACAGGGCCTCAAGAAAAAGACTGATAACTCAATTACAAAATGGGTGAAAGACATGAAAAGACTTCACAGAGGAGGACATTCAGATGGCCAACAGACACATGAAATGCTCTAAATTACTGGCAATATTTTTTTAAAAATTATTTTAATGAACATTTACAGAGATTTTGGATTTCCATTCATTCATTGTTGCACTTTTCTCCCTGCACCCTCTTCCCCCCAGGTCACTCCTCTCTTTGAAAAACAAAACAAAAATTCCTTCATTGGTATACAATCCCCCCCCTCCCTCCCCCTCGTGCACTCCACTATGCAACCTTAATTTTGGACAATAAGGATACCATCTTACCCCAGTAGTAGTGGCAAAGTTTAGCAGGACATCAAGTAATAAATGTGGAAGAGGACATGGCAAGATAGGAACTCTCATACATTGTTAGTGGGATTATAAAATGGGACAAATACTCTGGAAAGTCATTTGGCATTTCTCCAAAAAGCTGAATATAGAAATTCCATATGACACAGCTATTATACTGCTTGAAATATACCCTGAGAAAATGAGAACTGAGGCACAAATGTAAACTTGTACAACAATGTTAACTGCAGCATTGTTCATCACAAGAACATAGAAACAGCTGAAATGTCCAACCACAATGGAATAGATTGAGAGATCATGGTACATTCACACAATGGAATAGTATACACTACACTAGAGAAATGATTCTGTAAATTACTATTTAGCATGGAGGAACTGGAGAGCATTATGTTGAGTGCCCTCAGTTTCTTAACAAATACTGTACAATATAACTATTTTAAAATGAGTGCAATGATCCAAAGGGGCGGGGAGCTTAATCATAGGGTCACATAATTTGAAATAATATACACACCCTATACCATTTAAAAACATAAAAATGGATCAAACACCTAATTATAAATCTTTAAAGAGAATGAAAGAAAAAATAGATAAAAACTTAGATGCCATAATGTAGAGTATAATTAATTGACATACAAACTATAACCAAAAGAATATAAAGGGCAGAAGAAAAATTAGATGCTCTGAAATCAAGAAAAATATTTTTATGTGCATCAATATTCTTCTTTAAAAGAGTAAAATGAGACCCTACATATTAGAAAAACATATTTGGTAACGTTTAATAAGAGATAAATATTTAAAGTGTATGGGAAATCATAAAACTAACTCCAAAAGTATATTGCATCAAAGAAGATAAAAAGTCAACAAAAAACCCTTGCAATCTTTAGTCATTAGAGAGATGCTTTTTACCCAAATAATAATTATGATTATTATT